AATTTGACTATGACATGCCTTGGTATTTTTCTTTTGGGGTCTATTCTATATGGCGTTTGCTCAGCTTCTTGAATATATATTCTCTCATTCTTCATTATCCTGGGAAGTTTTCCTCTAGTATTTCTTCCACAACTTTTTCAGTGCCTTTACTTTCTTCTTCCTGTTCTGGGATTCTGATGATGCTCATGTTATTTCTCTTGATGGTGTCTCACATTATTCTTAGGTTTTCTTCCTTTTCCTTTTTTTTGATTCTGCTTTTTGCTCTAGCAGATCAGTGGTAACAATTCTAGCTTTTATTTCACTATTTCTGTGTTCCTTCTTTTCAACTCTGTTTATGTGTCCCTCTATCATGTTGACAGCATCTGAAACATTGGACTTTATATTTTGGATCGTGGTTTCCTATTTTTCCAGAGCTTCTAATGCCTTGTTTGTTTTATCTGCATTGTTTTAGATTGTTTTTTAAGTTCCTCCTGGTTTTTGCTTACAATGTCCTATAATTTTTCAAGTTTGTCTTTCACCCATTGAAAATATTCAATCATTGTTCTTTTAAGTTCTATGTCAGAAAGTTCCATCAGACTTTCTGGCTTCAGGAAATCATTGATACTGTGTCATTTTGGGGGATGATATCTTGCTTTGGGCTTGTGTAGGAAGTTGAGGTATTCTGCTTCTTTTGTGACATTGCTGTGGTAGTTTCTTGTGCCTGAGGCAATAGGCTATCCTTTATCTGATGTCACAGAAGAAAGTTGAGCAGTTGCGCACGTAGGGTGGGCACATGTGTGGATGCACGTAGGTTTTACACATGCAGATGCACGTAGGGTGTGCATGTGTGGATGTATGTAGGGTTGGCACATGCATAGATGTTCGCTGGGGTTGGGGGATGGGACAGGCACGCAGACCCATGTGAGTTTGGTATGCCTGCTGGGGGCACCTGAATGAAAAACCAAGAAGCCTTAGTTTTCCCTTAGAGAACTGGGTCTGCCACCCCAGTGGAGCTCCAGCTGTCTCACTCCTTCCTGCTTAAGGTGAAGGGGTCCCACAATCGGTTGAGCAATCAGCAGTGGTCTCCTCTCTAAGTACGTCACTCAAATTCCCACTGTCTTACTTACTGTTGGTGGGTGGTTCCCGCCAAGGCTCACTGCTCCCCTCCGAAGCACACCTCTGCCCGCTGAGGCTCACTGCTCCCCGCCGAGGCATGCTGCTTCCTGCCGAGGCTCCCAAACTAATTATTTTAATAATATTTCTCACTCAAATTCCATCTGTCCTGCATGCTCAGCTTGCTCACTCTTCAATTACTTCTTATACACCTGAAAGTTGGATAATAACTAAGACTGACAGAAGTCGAATCAATGTTTTTGAATTGTGGTGTTGGAGAAGAGCAAAGAAGAATATCCCATGGACTGCCAAAAAATAAACAAGTCTGTCTTGGAGGAAGTGCAACCAGGGTGGGTGCTCCTTAGAGGAAAGAATAAAGAAACTTTGTCTCACACACTTTTGGCATGTTGTCAGAATGGGCCAGTCTTTGAAAAAATAACATCATGCTGGCAAAGTTCAGAAAAATAGAGTAAGGCCTTCAGTAAGATGCATTGACACAGTGACCGTAATGGTTGGTTTGAGCATATTGTGAAGATGGCACAAGAAAAGACAAGGCTCAGATCTTTTATTCATAGAGTAGCCATGAGGTGCAGTTGCCTTGATGACAAAACCCTAAGTCAGTACTGATCACTGATCCAGGCATGTCAGCCTGCAGCCAAGTATTTGCTTTACAGCATGGAGGAGAAAACTCACCAGTTTGAAAATCAAAGTGCTGGAGATTAACAACCAGACTCAAAGTCAGTTGAATGACTTTCAGGAATATATAACATTTGAGAGTCATTCATTCCTCTCAACTATAAAAATGAAATGTACATAAACTCATTCAGCTTAGTTTGTTACTAAGAGATTTGTTCTGATACCCCCAAACCAGCCCTTTCCTGATCATTATACCCCACCAATGCCTCAGCAGAAGAAAGATAAAGAATCTTTTCTGCTGGAGGGCCAGCTGTTACTCACTCTGCCTCATTCACAATGAGGGAGACACAACCTCTTTCAGAGGGATATTGGGGTTATGTGATATGTCCTTGACCCTTGTTGTTAAGTGTTGTTGAGTCAAGTATGACTTATAGAGTCCTTATGAACAACAGATGTGAAACTGTCCTATCATTTGCCATCCTCACAATCTCTGACACATTAGAGTCTGTTGCTGGAGTCATTGTGTCACTCGAAGTGGTTGAGGGTCTTCCTCTCGACCCTCTACCCTTCTATGCATGATGTGCCACTCCAAGGTATAGCCTCTCCTACCGTCATATCCAAAGAATGTAAAATGAAGCTTTATCAGTTTGTCTCCAAGAAGCACTCTGGCAGGACTTTCTCTAAGACATATCTGTTTTCTCTTTGGAAGTCTGCTGGATATTCAGTGCTTTTCTCCAATGCCACAGTTCAAAGGCATCAGTTCTTCTGTCATTCTTGTTAATGGGAATAGGTGTGTTGGAGACAGTAAGATTAGCACAGAACAGAGCAGGGTTTAGGACGGTTGTACATAGGGTAGCTATGAGATGCATGTGACTCAATGTCACATAGCAACAACATCCAGCTCTCAACAGTACTTAGCTTGTTGTTGTTGTTGTTGTTGTTATGTGCTGTCAAGTCACCTCTGACTGTTTTCAATCATGTGTAGAACAGCCCTGAAACCAGCCCTAGCCTGGGTCTTGCTGACTTGACAAACCTAATCCCTTAGCCCTATTTATCATGTCAATCCATCTCATCTGGGGTCTTCCTCTCCTACACAGTTCCTCCACATTTCTGAGCATAATATTTTTCTCAAAGGACTGGTCTGTCCCTCCTGCCCACATACCCAAAGTATGTGAGACAGAGTTTCAAAATTCTTGGCTGTGGGGAGAGATTTAGTTTCACCAAGATAGACCTGTTTGTTCTCTTGGTGGTCCTATGAATTATTTCAATGTATATTTTGTTGTTTGATTTTTTTCTTTCATATTAGTAAAAAAAAAAAATATTTAGAAGGATTTTGTTAGGATGGGAAAAAAAGCTGGCTGAAGAGAGAGAAAAGAAGAAACTTGTCCCAAGAAATGAACAGGCCTTTATTAAGTGATCTGAGAGGGAAGCCAGGTGATTACTCCCAGAAATCACAATGACCTTCAGGCAGACAAAAGCAGTTTCCTTTTATAGGTACTATTAAGGAGATTGAGACCTGATGGTAGTTTGCTTGGGAAGTGGGGAGCAGGGGTCTTGTCAGGATGTGATCAGGCCAGGCTTTATCAGGATCTGGTCATCTGGTCCTCTTATCAGGGTATGGTCAGGCCTTCTCAAGACAGGGTCAAGGGTGAAGCTATTTGGGGCAGAGAGTGAACTGAAACATTTTTTCCTAGATTTTGTATAACAAAGGTTAAATAAAAGTGGTGATAGGGCAGTATTATTAAGTTTTGATTATTCAAACACATGCTACAGCTTTAAAGAAAACGAATGCATATATCAAAGATATAATAATTGGTGGTATACCAGGATTGGACATTTGAAATAGTTCTTGTTAGGTAGAAGCAATGAGGGAGACCATTAGTCAATAGAGAATTTAAAACAATATTAAAATAAGCTAAAATATTATATACTTTTGTTTATTTATTTGTTTTGTCACCATGCAATTGTAGTTCTAAAGAATGTTGGTGATAAAACATTCTTCCATAAAAAGAAATATTTTGTTAGTCTGTTTTAGGCACCTAGTGTGGCCTTCCATCTCTAGCTTCTATGAATTCAGTTGTATTCATTTGTTTAGACTGAGAGTAACTTAACAAAGTTGTTATTACTTTCATTTAAATTGGACATGGTTTTTAAATTAATAGTCCAATCACTGCATTCACTGTTGAAAATCTTAAACTCCCTAAATACAAACTGTTAGATAGAACACAGAATTCAACTTGTTTTGTTTTTATAAATATGAAGTACCACCATTTGAAAAAAATATACTTTCATTTTACTTTTTTGTGATTTCTGCAAAAAGTTTAAAGGATCAATTCGTTTAAAAAGTTTATTCATACTTTGTTTCATGACACTGATTTCAACCCTCATGATGCAACAGCAGTCTTTCCACTTTTTTTTCTGAGTTTGGTATTTATTCTTCTGCTTTTTTTCATTTAACTTTCTTTTATCACTCAGTTTCATCACCAGGATAGTGTTGCAATTTTTTCTCTCCCATGCTTAATTTCTCTAACGAATGAATAAGAAACTCCATGGTGTTATTATTCACCCCATGCAAGCAAGATTTTACTGAAGATTATCCAAAAACGACTGGAACAGCACATCAACAGAGAACTACCAGAAGTCCAGGCTGGTTTCAGA